TTACAAATATCGCATTTGAAAGGACGTTCTTCACTATGAGTTACTTGATGCATTTTTAGTTCCCCTTTCCTTTTAAAATCCTTATTACAAATATCGCATTTGTAAGGACGTTCTTCACTATGAGTTTCTTGATGAATTTTTACTTCTATTTTGCTTTTAAAACCCTTATTACAAATATCGCATTTGAAAGGACGTTCTTCATTATGTCGTGCTCCATGACGCAACAATAGGCATTTCCATCTAAATTGTTTTCCACATATTTTGCAGTCATGAACTTTGTGTATTCTCTTCTGTATCTCTAAACAGCTTTCACCATATTGAACGCGCTTACCACAAATGTCGTTTTTCCTCTGGATGTTAGATTTTTTACTATTTCTTAGAGATGACTTCACTCGATTTCCAAATGGCTGCAAACGTAAATTCATATGAGAGATTTCGTTTTTATTTTCAGTTTGGTGTTCTTTCATGTGTCTTCGCAAAAGAAATTGCCACAAAAACTTGTCATTGCAGATTGTGCAGAAAAATGGTTTTTTTCTGATATGACAGAACAGATGTGTTTCTAATATTCTCTTATTTGTAAATGTCTGTTTACATAATTCACACGTAAATTCTTGTTTAGAATAAAATGCGAACATCAGCTTGAAATATTTTCTTTTAATCTTATCATGAATTTTATTCCATTTTCTATTCGAAGGAACGTTCCTCTTTGTTCTGATATTATATTTAAAACTTTTTTCTTTTTCTGAATTTTGGTGAATATCGAATTCGTGAATGTGCTCTTCCTCCTGAACTGAAAGTTTAAAAAATAAAACATAATGTAGTATCTATTATATTTCAATAAACAACATAGTTTCAGTGTTAAAATAGTGCTGTAGCATTAAAATTCGTAAAGTATACCTATGTATTTCATTTAAAAGCAAAGCATCATTTGTTGTCTGCACTAAAAAATAAAAAATTTTACATTTACAATCATAAACTGAATGATTCAGCTTTAGTTTCTTTAGCAGACTTTTAGATGAGTGTGTAAAATTGTTTCACTTTATCTGTTTTTGTTTATATTATTTGTGTAGTTTGTTCCAGTGGTTATCATAGAAACGTGAAAGAAATTGTATGCTTTTAGAGAGGAAAAGAAATCATTAGTGTAAAAGAAAAAGTACCACAGCAAAAGTCTATGGTTTATATCAATAAATAAAAAGGCAAAATCAGAGGATTTCTGTGATTTTATTTTTTAAATCAAAATACCATAATTTGAGTGTATGTCCTGTTGATGTGTACAACGTTTTCAAGAATAATAGCAACATCCTTTTTAACACGTTGCTAATATATACTTATTTATGTCATTAAATTACTTATATAGCCCTCGTTTACTTCGTTTCAATACATTTTCTTTATTATTTTACCGGATTCACGAACAAAGCAAGATGACATAAATTATTAAATCACAACTCATGAGTTATTATTTAATAATTCTGATTATCCTAAGAGATTTTTATTAATTTCAAAAGTTATATTAATACGTTGTAGCAGGTTACGTATAATTCTGAAAGATCTGATCCCAGTTAAATGTTTGACAATTGAATCTTGAATGTAGTTCTTCAGCTACCCTCTGAATAATCTATACTAATATATAAAGAGGTAATGTTTGTATGTATGTAAGTTTCGTTGCAGCAGGTAATCTCCGAAACTACTCATCCGATTTCAAAAATTCTTTCACCAATATTTAAAATGGAACCTCAGGGTGGACATAGGCTGTGTATTATTCCGTTAAAAATTCATATAAATTAAAATATATAATCTAGGTTAAGGCTTTTATGTCAAACAGATGGCGCTACGAGCACGACGCCCTAAGTTTGCTTTTCTGCGAGGCATTACGCTTTTCTGTGAAAATAAACTAAAGTGGATCATCTTCTATCTATTTATATAAATAAAAATGTAATGTTCGTTTGTTCCTACCGATTCCTTTCAAATTTTGATACAACGCTGCATTCGAATACGCACGTATTTTTATATAATATACGTGTCGAAATTTCCCGCACTGGGGGGAGATGGACAGGATTAAGGCTTACAGTAAAGAACTCTGCTTCTATTTATACTATTTAAGATGCGGTTTTTTGCGTTTTTGATTGAGTTTTAATAGGGTAAGTCAACAGAATGTACACTAAGAAGGAATTTTTCGATATTTCCCCACGGGGAGAGGGACAGAATTAAGGCTTTCCGTGAAGAACTTGACTTCTATTATATTATTTTGGATGCGGGTTTTTGCGTTTTTGATTGCGTTTTAATCAGGTACGTTAATAGAATGTACACTAAGAAAAAATTTTTCGTAAAATCCCCCCCACAGGGAAAGTGTTATACATTTATAATAGATACATTTTGAACCACAACAACGCGTTGCGGGGTCTGCTAGTATTAACATAAAAAGTCTGAACTAAGTAACATGTTACTTACTTTGGATGTTCATTTCATCCCAGTTAAAGTTTCCGTCCACAGTGCAGAATTCATTGTTGACAGGCTAAACAATATGCAAACAATACATTACAATCACGAATAATCATTTATAATATATAAACAAGTAACGAGTTGCTCAACTTTCCCGGCAACGTTTTAAAATTTTGGTGGCGCTGTCTGTAATAAAACGTTTTTTAAATAATATATGATCTTTTTAACTATTATAGAAAGGCAAATAATTAACTTTTGAACGTAGGGACGAGTTTAATATAAAAAAGTTAAATACGAATAGTGAGTAAAATTATGATTAATTTCGACCCTACTAAAGATACACATGACCCCTTTCACTATCCTTCCACCCTATTCATTTTTATACAGCAAAATTTAATAGCTGAATTTCCCTAATAATCAAACTTTCCAGCAAAATTTAAAAAATTTTCGACAAAAAGAGCAGGAGTTATTAAGTTTCAAACAGGATGAAGAAAATCATGCACCCTCACAGACTAACATCGATACATACAGATAGATAGATAGATATTTTATTGTAACCTAATGGAGTACAGTAAAGACTGGGTGCCACATTGTAGTCTTTACTGTACATAAAAGTACATGGATACATCATATGAATGAAATGATATAAATTAAAAAAATAATAATAATAATTACAATAAAGAGAAAATTATTTACAAATACGTATATACAATGTAATGTAAGCAAAATAAAAACAAGTGTGATATAAAATATACAGAATTAAAGTTTTGATATATTGGTACATGAAATACAAGGATTGCAAATACAAATAAGCGTGGATATGTAAATTTAACGTACAATATCAAGAGGAATTAAGTAATTAAAGTAACACAACATAATAGAGAAAAGTAATTATATTTCTATACAGAGTAAATAAATATACACGAGTTTACACAGGGGTAAAGGAAATCCGTACAATGCACTGAGGACATGGTTACAGGTTAGGTGCATGTGACGACAACATTGCAGAAGACAGATGTAGGTGAATGGCCTGCAGGCATGTGAGGCAGTTAGATGTAAGCAGTTACTTTTTTTTTTTCATTGGATGGTCATCATTTCCCCTCTCGGGAATCAGCTTCATCCTTGTCCCACATAAGTATTAGAAAAAATAAAAGATATTTATTACATGCAATACAAACAATCGTAAATACAATGAGAAATAGAGATAAAATTTAAAAACTATTTACAGTGTTTATGTCTGATTTTACATAAAATTACCGACAGCTCGTCGGTTTGCTGGATGGGTGGGGGTAACTCCCCGATTCTTACATAAAAATCTTCTTTGCGAAGATCCGAAGGTTATTGCAGATGTCTTTATGTCGAATCAAGGTATATAAATCAGCATTGGTGTTATGATGTTGCTGATGTAACAGAGTGAGTTGAAGTCTTGGTTCTTCAAATTAACTACATGTGTAAAACAGGTGTTCCAAATCCTGTACCTCGTTATTGCAGTCAAATTCGGCCTTCCGTTCTTTACCAATTCTTTTTAAATAGGATTTACAGTTGCAGTAGCCGAAGTATAGCTGGCTGTAGATGTAGTCTATTGGTAGCCATTTCAATTCTTTCATTCTCTCTTCAACGCACGGGAGGAGCCAAAAAGTGTTCCTACCCTTTGTGGAGTTAGTCCATCGATCTTGCCATTTGTTATATATCTCACTTCTTAGTTGATTTTTGATACCAGAGATTAGAATCTTGTCATAATTTACTTCTGGAAGAAGGGTGGCCTCTTTTGCAAGATGATTAAAAGTAAGTTTTAGTTTAAAGCCCAGCCTTTGGATCTCATCCAGAGTTTGTTCTCCAATGGTCTCGAGTTCTTTCCTTGAGTTAGCGCCATATATTATAACTGTGTCTTCGGCGTATGCCACTTCGACAATGCCGGGACCTTTGTCTACTCGAAGAAAGTGGTCAAATACCAGGTTCCAAAACAGTGACTCTGAGTTGGAGCCTTGGGGACACTCCTTGTTTAATCCTTTAGTAATGTTAGCTCCATTTGTATTATATACTACCCTACGGTCGTTCAGGTAGTCTTTAACGATATAATATAAGTTTATTGGGATAAGCTTCACGCAGCGATAGCAGGACCAGGGGCCACCAAGCATGGTCGAAGGCCCCTTTTATGTCCAGACTTAACCCGCAGCAGTATTTGTACTGAGCAAGTTTTCCATATATACTGTTTACCACTTTACAGATGGTGTCTTCCGTGCCCCTATTAGGGAGAAACCCATACTGTTTATCACAGAAAATTGTTGGTGATTATATGTGCCATGATCCTCTGGCTGACCAGGTAGTCCAGCACCTTCCCCATAAGGAGTAGTAAACTAATTGGCCTATAGCTCTTGGCAATGCTTTTGTCCATATCTTCCCCTTTTGGGATGATAACAAGTTTAGTTACCTTCCATGGGTATGGAAAAACCTGATGGCGGAGACAAAGGTTATACATCTCAGTGAGATACTCTGGGTCAGTTTCTCAAAGTTTATGCACGATTTCCACTACAATCCCATCGGGCCCTGGAGCTTTCCCTAGCCTGAGCCTGTAAATGGCATTTTCTACTTCATCCTTTGTGAATTCGGGTTCCACAGTATTACTATAGACTTTTTCACCTTCTTGCTTTATTCTTCGTTGTATTTGTGTGTCTTGTTCCACATAGTCAGTGGGGAAAAAAGTATTCATGAGGCTTTCGATGGTTTCCTCAATCCCTGTGGTGTAATTATCTCCGTCCTGCACCGTAGTCAGAAAGGTGAGGAGCTTAAGCTTCCCCGCACACGCCTTATATAGGAAGCCCCAAGGATTCGAGTTGCTTTCGCTGCAGAAATTCCTCCAGGACTGAAGCTTCTTGATTTTAATTAGGTTTTTGTACTCTACTTTTTTCAAGGTATTTTTTTTTCTTTTCTCGTCTGCTTTGATTGTTTCTTGTTCTTTGATACCGCCTTCTCAGGCGATTACTATTTCTTCTCATTTCTGGTAGTTCACTGGTCCACCAGGGCACTGGGGTACGACCATACTTTTTCCTTGGAATGGTTTCCTTGCAAATAGCGAGGAGTGAATTTTGGAGATGGGAGATGGTTTGCTCAACCTCAAATCTATCCTTACTACTGTTCAAAGTATCATGATTCAAATTTTCTTTCAATCTGGTTTGGAAGAGGGGCCAATTGGCCCTACGGATTGCAAAGTATGGGCACTGAGTGCCATCTCCTTTTACACTACAGCCAATATTGATGAAGATATAACTATGGTCGCTAAGGCTGCAGCGTGTGGAAACTTACCACAAGTGGACTAGCCTCAAAGCAGCACTATTGCATATTGTCAAATCAATCCAACATTGCCCTATTAGGGCATCGAAAGTTCGCAAAGAGTCTGGCTTATTCACAATATGGAGATCGTTAGCGTTAATAAATTCAAATATTTGTTCTGCCCTGCTATCGTTGTCCGGATCGCCCCACAGTTCAGAGTGGGCGTTAAAGTCACCGCCTATTATGATGTTTTTTCCGTGATATTGCTTTTTCAGTCCTTCCAATCCGGACAGGACCGGATTCAAGTCGTTAGTTATCGGACAGTAAGCACTGACCAGTAAATAGTTCTTTTCACCGTTGCCTACCTCTAGGCACGTGATATATTTGTTGCTTACCTCGTTGTGGAAAAGCACGGGAATACTGGGGTTGTTCACTATGGCAATCGTAGAAGGACAAAAGTCTTTAAGGTCCTGTAACCAGTCCTAAAACAAGCAGGCACTCCCCATAGACAGTAAAGTTCCTGAACAAGAGCAATGTCTGTACTCTCAAGAGTCTTGCAGAGAGCAGAAGTGCCACTAATTGAACGTTGTACGTTAACTTGTACTAGTTTTATCAAGTTTCTTTTATCACTATTGGTAGGACTACTGTCCTAAATCAGTTTTTGCTATCAGCATTTTTCTAATCTTTTGTATGAGCGGGCATTTCTTTGAACACGCATTGTGATTTCTATCTTTTAGTTCTTCACGCCTACAGTTTGCACAAACTGCTCTGTCTTTTTGTTGGCAGTCTCTGTACTTATGGTTTTGGGCACACTGGCTACACGTTTGGCCTTTTTCTTTGCAATCTTTGGCGAAGTGTCTAATGGACAGCATTGGAAACACTGCGTTACTGACAGATAGTCCTCAACACTTCATCTGGACCATCCCAGGTTTACTTTCTTGATTGACAGTATTAGGTTTTTAATTTGTGGGTTGACTTCTAGCACCCAGTTTGTGGTGTTTTTATCCCTATTTCCGAATTGAAATTTTACTTCGAATTGCCTGCAGAACTCCTCTGCTATCATGGTCGAGTTTATTATTTCATTCTGGTCATACAAGTATTCTTGTAATTCTTCCCTTGGCAGATCCGTTCCTACCCCATAGATGACCAGTCTGGGTCTCCTTTTACAAAGTTCCCTAGTTTTAAAGCTTGTGTTTGTTTCGATGGTTTCCCTTAACTTTTTCTTTTCTTCAGCCGTTGCTACCTCTATGGCGATCCCTGCGCGCCTCAGTTTTCTGACAGTGTTGTATTCCTATGCCCATTTGTCTTGGGTAAACACATTTTTTCAATTTTCCTTTAGTTTTCCCTGGGTCTTTATTATCTACTTCTGGATCGACGAGTAGAACTTCCTTATTTGGTTTCGGATTTCTTCTTGCTACAACTTGAGCAAAGGTCGGCCCGGATTTCCTTTTAGTTTCGAGTATTTTCTCTAATCTGTTACTTAACTTGCCCACAGCAGCTTGCAGTGGGTCGGTTTTCTGTTCGGTGATTAATTCGATTATCTTGTCGATTTGTCCGCACACAAACTTAATGTGATTTTCAGCTCCAAGCTTACACCAGCTGTTGGCCATCATGTATAACCTAACTTCTTCGCGGATCCCTTCCGCTGTTTTTAGTCGCTCATCCTTGAGCAAAACGTCCATATCGCACTGTGACAACACCTCGTCGACCGAATCAGAGATGTGGGGCCGTTTGGCCGAAATAGTCCTGAAGAGGACTGTATAGCCTATAAAAGCTTTGCAGTAGTCGTTTGGTTTCGCCCTTTCGGGCTACTTATGGGCAGGACCACGAGAAGGTACGACCCTGCTTCTCCTTGGATCAGTAATAACCGCAATTAAACTAAAGCAAGACAATAAACGCCAGCTTAATCGCCTAAAAAGACAGTCTAAAGGCTCACAAATCACAATACTGTACTAATCAAGTGGGGCACCCTGCCCTGTAAGCAGTGACAGTGGTACGATCAAAGTAGTTGTTTATGAGCACAAGAATAGCGAGGTAAGAGTCTTGGTCGTTGAAAAAACTGTAGCAGTCACTAGGACAGCAGTACACGTGTTACAATGGTGGACCTTAAATAGTGTTCTCCAGCTCCAGTATGGGACAGTCGAAGATGTACTAGTACCACAGAGGGAGCAGTTAGAGCTACGAACGTTGACAAATCTGGCCAAGTATGACTGAAATCTACCATGGCCGGTGAGAAACTGGCTGTTGCGGTGACCTGGAATGTACCATTTATTAAGGAGAAAACTCTCAATGTTTGAAATGAATCTGTGTGTAACTGGTGGTTATGATTGTCCCATTCCTGTTGCCAAGTCACAAAAAGGTCCTTCCATAGTAGGTTTTTGACAGTGTTGCTGTTAAATTTATTATAGGCGACTGGAAGGTTAGGGTCATCACTAGCAGATTTGGCCAAGGCATCAGCATGCTCATTACCAAGCGTGCCCTGATAAGCACGTGTCCAGTAGATGAAGAAAAGATTACAGGAATTGTTGATAGTGTCCTGTATGTCTGTGGAGATGGGATGACAGGAATGGTTTTTTATGAGGAAGATTGAAGATGCACTGTCCGAGATGATGGCCACTGATTTGCCTGCAAATTTGGAGACAGACCAGGCCACAGCCGACCTCATGGCAAACATCTCGGCTTGGAAAACAGTACAGTGATCGTCCAACCTGTGCTGACCAGAGGCGATCTTATCATTGTTGTGGAAGGCAACAAAGGCACTGCCTACACTGAAATATGCTTTGGATCCATTAGTAAAGATTTCTGTATCCACATCATCAGGTTGGCAGAAGTTGATCTTATTAGGAGTGGCTGGGTGCTTGGTTAAAGCATACTGAACGTTGCATTCAAGATCCTGAGTTTCGATAATTTGATTATTGATGCAGGTAGCCTTACCCCACTTAAGATGCCAGAGCTTAGTGTTAGTGTTATAGTCAATTAGATGATTAATCGGTGCTTTTTTGGCCAAAATCTGGAGGGAAATGTTTGGGATCATTGTGTAGTTATATGCAGATAAAACCCACGATTTTTTTTTTGCATTTTCGACGTTTGAAGGTGTTCTAAGTTTAGAAATGTTGGCGAGTCATTTTTTGACCGATCGCCATTATTTTCCCCTTATATATTATAGTAGGAAAAGTAATATGAAAGTCATTACAAATTTAGACATTACAAATCAATATTCTGTAATTTTATATACAATCGACCCCTCTATAAGATCATAGATACGTTCCATTCTTTAGGAATCCGATTTCTTACGAGACCTTCCAATCACAGCCCGACACGTGTCAAGTTTACGGACTACGGCTGTTTGAAAGGTTTTCTTCCATAAAATTAATCGATTCTAGACTAATCCGACTCAACATTTCCAAAATACGTATATTTTTTTGGGAATAATCTGTATAAACTACGCTATAAACAAAAAATTGTAGGATTACTTACCGAGTGTGCACCATTCGACAACCCCATTGCTAAAGCTTGTTTTCGTCGCGAAGCAGCACACCAAACCACGGCCGATTTCTGATAACTTATTTTTCTGCGAAAACTTCGTTGAACTTCGGAGACATCATTAATATAAATAATTTTAATCGCCGTTGAATAAGAAATGTTTCTTTCACAAGAAATGTATAAAATTACAGTACTGTATTAGACTTACGGTACCTAATTTACATACTGACAGACGATAGTTAGCGTAAAAATCTCCGTAGCGTGGCGCCACGCTAGACGGCGGAAATTATATATTTAATTATAACAAAGTTAAAATAAGTTAATATATAATTATATATACAGTACCTAATTTATATATAATTTATATAATACTGTCCAGACAATAGAAATCTCTCCGTAGCGTGGCGCTACGGACGGCGGGAAAGTAGTTCGGCTGCCCGATGACGTTTTACGTAATTATAGGAGTTTTTACCTTTTTTTACGGATACCGTCACAATTTTTTCGCGGTTTTATAGGAATCGTAATTATAGGGGGTCGACTGTATAACCTACATATTAGAAAATTGCATTAAAGTTAATTATGTTTTGAAAATTTTATACAAATTACTTAGTCTTTTGGGGAAATTAACAAAATAACAAGCGAGACTATTCACTTTTTATCTTGTCCATTGATAAAGACATTACTAATGAAGTACACTGATTTTACTACAGATCTATGTTATTTATAAAATAATTTAGCCCAGTGAAAGCCAGGAGAATATTTCTGTAAGAAAAGATTTTTATACCTATTGTATTTTACAATACGTTGTAAAACTGTTTTGATCATTTTATTACATTACAGAGGTTGCAGCCGAAGTTCAAACTTTAAACTTGTACGGCAAGCAGAAATACACGTTTGACATTTCAACTCCAAATAAAACACGTTGCGCCAACGTCGAGCACTGATTCATGGGATATTGTCGAAAAATGGCGAAAACATTTAAGAACGGCGAAAGTTACCAAAGAACGTAAAAATAACAAATTACATTATTTTTAAATATTCAGAAAATGTTTAATATCACTAAATAATTATTTTTGACTTTAATTAGCGTCGTGTCTCCTACCGTACGATATAATAATAGGACAATTTGCCTGTTCTCATGACATACTTTTCTTGAAGGAAGTACTGTACTGGCTTATATAAATCCGAAAGCAGCAGGGAAATTAGTTTTAAAAATTTACAAATGTAATGCTGTTAATGGTAGATGATGCCGTGAAAGAAAATCCTACTTCTACAGTATTGCGATAAACTATTATCAACACAAATATATAAAAATTCAATAAGCACTTCATTCACATAACTTGAAAAACAATTGAATAATTATATAATTTATGGATTAAAATCGTCTGTTTCTTCACAATGTCGTTCACAAATGCTGAAAAGTAAATCCTACTTCTACAGTATTGCGATAAGCTATTATCAACACAAATATATAAAAATTCAATAAGCACTTCATTCACATAACTTGAAAAACAATTGAATAATTATATAATTTATAAATTAAAACCCTCTGTTTCTTTACAATGTCGTTCACAAATGCTTAAATAATCATTATTTTAATAAAATACGTCGTAAATTCAACCCAAACACAAAGAAAACGAGAACGTTTAAGCCGAACTTTTACTTGCCACGTTCGACGTTCAAAACGCCATTGTCCTGAATCATTATGCTGAACATTATATTATATTATTCAATAAAATAAACCTATTATATTGAAGATTAAAAAACGAAATTTAGTACTGTACATTGTGTATAAGTGGCATTAATGCTAGTAAATTTTGGTAATAAAACATCAAGAGGTGAAAAGATGGAAGATGGTCACGTTTAAAATTTCGAGTGGGATCTGACTTCATGAAAATTTTATTTGTTGTTAGCATCTACAATTCTTTGTGAAATGCATTTCTACCATTAAAATTAAGCATTTCTTCATTTTATAATAATTAAAATTATACAGAGTTTATATAAGATATGGCGCCAAAGACAATTTTATTTATTTTTTATGATTAATAATATAAATGTTATTTTTTAAATAAAATCACTTAACTGCCAAGAAACTTACGCAACTCGTTGCTAGATTTTTTCTATATATACAGTTAAAACGCACGATTTTTTGCATTTTCGACGTTTGAAGGTGTTCTAAGTTTAGAAATGTTGGCGAGTCATTTTTTGACCGATCGCCATTATTTTCCCCTTATATATTATAGTAGGAAAAGTAATATGAAAGTCATTACAAATTTAGACATTACAAATCAATATTCTGTAATTTTATATACAATCGACCCCTCTATAAGATCATAGATACGTTCCATTCTTTAGGAATCCGATTTCTTACGAGACCTTCCAATCACAGCCCGACACGTGTCAAGTTTACGGACTACGGCTGTTTGAAAGGTTTTCTTCCATAAAATTAATCGATTCTAGACTAATCCGACTCAACATTTCCAAAATACGTATATTTTTTTGGGAATAATCTGTATAAACTACGCTATAAACAAAAAATTGTAGGATTACTTACCGAGTGTNTTAAGCTACGTTTTCAACCATTCGAAAACCTAAGTTAACATTGAAATTTCACTGTAAAATATCTCGAAATTTGTATTACTTACAAATACGTTTTCATTATCATCTAGGAGATGAACATCTTCTTTATAATCTTCAGTTTTTACTTCAATTTTCAATTTTTTCAAATCAACTTTACATTCTGATTTTATTCCATGTTTTACATCACAATTCTCCTTTATTTCTTCTTTCTTGATATCTGTAGTAGAATTTACAAAGTTTTTGTATTAAAAGATTCTAAGAAAATCTTGAAATATAAAATAAAACTGAGCATATTTTCAATAATTAACATAACAGTGTTAAATAACATTTTTCACTACATCATTTATTTCTGATTACAAGCCGAAAACTAACCATGAGTCACGGCGAATTAGTGTGATGTGTGATACAAATTATAATATGTACGATTAGAAACTTCTTTTCGTTATTAAATAGATCAGCAACGAGTGCTTAACTTTTCCGGAAACATTTAAAACTACGTGTGGCACCATATTTTATAATATTTTGTTTAAAATAATTTTATATTTATAAGTACTGTATTATTAAATTTAAAAAAGCTTGATTTTGAGATTTTGAGGATAAAAATAAATTTTATAAAAAATTGTAAATTAAAAAATAAGTAAACTTGTCATATATCCGGCCCTACTGAAGATACACACGACCCAAATTTACAATTTAATCTCGTAGATGTAATATATCACAAAGAAGTTATGTTAATCAAAGTTCGATATTCCTGTGTTTTTCCATTTCTGGACATTCTGACTTTCCATTAGCACAAAAATATAAATTACCTTACAAAATTCTATTTGTCGACGTTGAAAACTTTACGTCTGAAAATTCAGGCGTACAGTAAGACCCCGCATAACGCTGATTTGATATAACGCGGTCTTCTCGATGCCTAAAAAAGCTCAGAATTTACGCTGATTTAAATTATCGCGGCATTTCATTAATTCGTATATAATACGATTACTTGCAAACACAAACCAATCGGCAAAAGGTGGCAAAAAAATGTACTTTAAATCTATGTTTGTTTAGTACAATTTTGGAAAAATATAACATCATGGATGCCATAGGAAATATTGACTTTGCTTGGCAAGAATTAACTGATAAATGCACGAACGAAGTGTGGAAGAAGTTATTGCTGAAGGTATCCAAGAATTCTCAACAAGAAGAGCGTATCGTTAGGTTGACCAAACTTCAACCTAATCGATATAGCAGGACTAGGAGATATAGACGAACAGGATATTGAGGAGTTACAGCAGATTTCTGCTTAGAGCCTTACCAGCGACGACCTTCAGGAACTGGCAGAACATGGAATTCATGT